GCCATAGCTGTAGCATAGCGTGTGTGTGTGTTGCGTATGATACTGAGTGTTGCGTGTGGGACATCCAGGGTGATCCAGAGTGCGAACAGTGAGTTGTGTGGGCGCCCAGTCGCCATAGCCAGTTGAAGAGAACTCATATCTGGTTACGATATCTTAAGTACTGTTAGGGCGCATGTCGCCAGTTGCTGTATCGCTGTTTGCATGCAAGACAAGGGTGAATAATCGGAGTGTGAATGCAATGACTCAAATTTTGGTAACAGCTTCGGCCTAATTGTGATTGTGCGAATTTTGTTATTATTTTTACAAAGGAAGTTCCATAAGAATCGGACAAACCTATATTAGTTGTTAATATAGGATGAATGACGTGGAAGTCATTCAATGGGGTCTGGGAATGCTGTCGGAGCAAATACCCTGACAAGGGTATTTGCCAAGGATTTTAAACGTCGGACGCTGTCCGACTTTTCGTTGGATTAAAGGACTTGATGAGACTGACGTTTGCCAAAAGTTTATTTAGACCTGACCCATGACTGAGAGACAAAAAAATTTCAGGCTTTAGTCCGGACGCGTGTGGCATCCGGGAGTAACGAATGTGAAAGGTAAGGCTTCGCCTTGTCGCGTGCCGCAGAGACATGCGGAGATCGGAATGTTAAAATTAAACCTATTCTACCCATACTAAGGTCGCACGGCTGTTAAGCCGCGCGATTTAGGGCCTAGGTAAGTGGAAAAGGGGTCGCCGCGACGGAGGATGGAACCGCGGCGCAAGAAGGGTAGAAAAGGTTTTTTTTTTTTTTATATTCGGGGCCGCGGGGTTAACATCAAGCCAAGGGGTCGACAGGGGAGGTGTCGAGGCCTAGCTGTGGATGGTCTGTAGTCTACTGGAAAGCGGCAGACAGGGCCTGCAAGGTCTTCAGGCAGTTGAAGCCTGCTGAGCCACAGGCTGGAGGCAAACTACTGGGCGCAACCCTTCAAATACAAGGGTTGCTGCTTTAGTTCCAGTGATAAGAGCTAGCCCAGTAGGTACTAGCTCAAACTTTCGCCCAACAGGTTCCGGGATCGAGGCCGACACGGCACTATCTGGGCTAGCTCTTCTGAGCTGGCCAGGGATGGAAAAGCAATTTGGCACGGCCGATTTCGGCCGTGCGCACGACCTGGAAACAGCCGCGCGGATGCTGCATGGCCCCTGCGCAAGGATGATACGCGTAAATCGAGAAAAGATCCAAAGTTTTTTTTTCTTCTGAGTCATGTTGGACTCGAACTCGGGTCTGCAAGTCCCTACTAGACGTGGTTGAAAAGCCACATGACCGTTGGCATAAGCCAACGGCATAAGAAAAAAAAAATCAAAAGTCGATGGCACCAGATGGCGCCTACAGAAGTGGCAGGGGACCCTGTGTCCCCAGAAGAATCTGACATGCGCCCGTTGAAAACGTGCAGCCGTTGTACTGAGAGGTAAGTTGGGATTTTCTTTTTTCTTTTTCTTTCGATTTTGTTTTTTTTTTCTTCATTCTCGATTTTGTTTTATTATTCTTTTTAGGTTCTTTTCTCCCTTTCGTTTTGGAAACCATCAAAGAACCCGTTCGTTAGAGCGAACGAGTTGAGTTTCCTACCTGGATGTCGGCCTATGGTACTTCCATCGATAGGCCAAGCAAAACGAACGAATCTGTCCTAAAAGTGGGACATATACACTGCCAAGTATGAGTAAAAGGAGTAAGGTGGGAGGGACTTACCTGGCCGTTTCAACGTCGACTGCAACAGGTGAGTGTCCAACCGTGGCTGGCCTTGGTTACTCGTATTGATAGGATGAGCAAAATCGAATGAATCTACCCCAGGGACAAGGGGAGATTCATGCTACAGGTAAAGAAAGGTAAGTCTTTGTTTTTGTTGTTGTTGTTTGTTTGGCTTCTTCATTTCTCCCCACCTCCCCGTTCGTGAGCTGTGGTAGCTCGACCAAACAGGGAAAACGAGGGGGGCTGAATCAAGTCCTGGGGGCAGTTGCTCATGGGAAAACAAGCAACTATTCCCTCGGCAACACCTGAGGGAACCACCCCAGCCTCTGTCTGAATATGGCTGGGGTCGTAGGCTGTATGCAGGCACAGGCAGGAAGGGGGGGGGTTGAAAAGCAAGAGGGGGTTGGAGGAGTTGAGTGGAGAGTGAGAGAGAGAGAAATGGGAGGATGGGAGAGAGGAGGACCTGCTCCTCCCGACCCGCCAACTACCTCCCCGTTGTCAAGGGGGGAAGAAAAAAAAAAAAGAAAAGAAAAGAAAAGAAAAGAAAAGAACAGAAAAGAAAACGAAAAACGAAATCTGAGTTTTTTTTGAAAAATTGTATTTTTCAGTTTGCCCCACTATTTTTTTAGAAGCGTGAAACAATTTTTTTGACCTTGCAATTTTTTCTGTATATAGTCAGGCACTTAGGCCAAGCGCAGGAATTGTTTTAATTTTTTTTATTGAGCGAATATTTTTCTAAAAATGCTTGAAGTCCGAGTACTTTTTGCACCCCGCCCTGAGCCTGTCGGGATTTGAACTCTCGTGCATTTTCACGAGTTCTTTCCCTACCTCTCCCAATCTGACAACTGCCATCCCCGTTTTCAGGGGAGGGCAGGGGAGAAAAGAGGAAAAGTAGAGAGGGGAGAGAAAGGAACAGTCACGGCCGCGAACGTGGTCGCGGCCGTGCACCAAGTTCAAACAGCATTGGCCTGAATGCGGTCATTCAGGCCAGGGCTGTGAACTGGAGGGACAATGAGGGGAACTTGGCTGGAAACAGTCATTTTCCTGCTGAACCTGCACTCAGTGTATGGTTGAGTGCAGGGAAAAGGGAGAAAAAGAGGGGGGCAGTTGAGTACAACTGCCACCCTAAGTGTGTGGCTGAGGTGAGACAGCCTCAGTCCCTTGATCTGGCTCAGATCGACGGCCCCAGGCAAGTGACGAATTTTGCCTTGGGGCAGCTGAGGCTGCTGCTTCCCTCCTCAGCCACTACAAAAGAGGCAATTGTCCCCCAGCTGCGTCACACTTGCCTCCGGCTGCCAGTGTGTGACAGCACACTTGCCTCATCGCTGGAGTGTTGGAGAGGAGGCAGGAGTGTTGTCGGCGAAGCTGGAGGACTGTGGAGGAGCGCGACGAAGGAGGAGACAACTATAGCCTTGGCTGGAGCACTCTGCTCCACCTTGGCAAGCTGGTCTCTAGGGGGACTCTGCAGCAGCGTGGTGAGGAGCGGCAGCGGAGCGTGGCAAGAAGTGACGGGGAGCACGACAAGTGGTGGGGTTATGCTGCCGAAATACCGCGGCGTCGGCGCGACACCTTTATTCTGAGGGGCGAAGCTGCCGTTTTCAAGGCACGTCTGCGCCACTTTGTTTTGAAGAGTGATGCTGCCGTTTTCACGGCACGGTAATACATCGCGGTGGAGCGCTGCCGTCGTTTTGCGGTGGTACGGCACGGCGAAGCGCTGTCGTCTTTTTGCAGTGGTACGGCGGCGAAGCGCTGCCATTTTTTCTTACGGTAGTACGGCACAGCGAAGCGCCGCCGTCTTTTTGCGGTGGTACGGCACGGCAAAGCGCTGCCGTTTTTTTTTACGGTGGTACGACACGGCAAAGCGCTGCCGTTTTTTTTATGGTGGTGGGGCACGGCGAAGTGCCGCCGTCTTTTTACGGTGGTACGGCACGGCAGTGCGTTATCGTTTTCTTTTTTTACGGGGCACAGCGCGACAACGTGCTGCCATTTTCCGACTAGAGTTTAACACGGCAGTGTTGCGGCACGACGATGGGACGTGCGGCGCGACAGTGGAGGTTTTTTTTTTTTTTACGGCGCTGAAAGTTTTTTGTTTTGGCGCTGCGTCTGCTTTTCTTGGTGAAGGTCTGCTACCATTGGTGTGTCCGGTGGCAGCAGCGTGACATGGTGGCGGTTGACAACATGCGACGGTACGAAATCTGAGCGCGACTGGCGGGGTTTATTTTTTTATTATTTTATGCCGCACATGAGATAAATGTTTTGTAGTTGGAACTACCCAACACTTGCGGCAGTGGGACTGCACTACTTGGGACTGCCTGGGTTCAGTTGGGACTAACATGGGACGCGGACGACCATTTGCGGTTGTTTCGACGCATGCCGTTTTGGGATTCGACACCGGTTTTATTTTTTTGAGAAGTGTGGCGGAAGCGGTTTTCGACTCAGTTGTCGTTCGACGAAGTGTTTGACAACCTAGGACCACCTAGAACCGCATGGGACCATCTGGGACCGCTTAGGACCAGTTGGGACTGACGTGGTACCAGATTGAGTGTTTTTTCTTGGACGCGTGTGGCTCGCAGTTTTCACGCTTGGGTTACCGCGGATGAGGCGTGCGAGTGAAAGGCGGTTTAATCAGGATTTTCCTTGAGACTACAGCTTTCAGCTACACGCACAGCTTGTTGGTTGGCTTTCTTGAGTGAGCCAGGACACTTCTTCGGCACCACTTCACTCAAGGTCAGTGGACGACTCAGACTCCCTTCACACCTGTGTGCACCCACACATTGCTCGACCCTTTTGCTTTGAATGGTCAGGAGAAAAGGTTGAGTTGGGTTGTGGGCATCATGCATGAGTAAAAAGGTGGGTCCGACGTGAGTAGTGGGACTTTGCTTGTCTTCTTTTGATTGTGTTGTCTGCATGGTGTGCAGGTGAGTAAAAAGACTATGTATAAAAGTGGGACAAAATGCTATTTGATAAAATGGCGGAGAATTTTTGCCTCCTTACTATTTTCCTTTTGTCAGTGAGTTGGGTGAACTTGCTATTTTTGAAGGATAATTGATGGGTGTCGTGAGAAAAAGAATTTTGAAAACAGAAAGAGAATCAAAGCATAATGAATTTAACTTTTCTCAAGGATTGACCGCCTCTATTCCGAATGACCTTATCTTCTCATTATTTATCCCTTTTGATTTCCCTTTGCGTAAGTTACCCTGAACTTAGAAAAAAATTGGAACAATTGAAAGTTACTTATAGTGGACACATGTTCTCTCTCCAGGAAGCATCTGGGGCGGGGGTTCGTTGCTTTCGGAGCCGACCCTATTATCGACCCGGAGTAGACCGTTCTACGGGGGGTACTTTGTCGATTCCGTGGATACGGCCCGACTTATGAGATCCGAGTCTTGTCCTCGGGCGAGGAGGAGGAGCACCCCAGACCACTTCCTAGAGGGTGAGGCATGCAACACCTCGAGCGATGCACCTTATAAAGAATCATCCGCAAAGCAGTCTGTCATCGAACAGATTAGGAACATAAGGCAACAAGCGTATGCATGTCTAATGTTAGGTCGGGGGTAGGATGAAATGAGTAACTTTGGCAGCGCATCTGATCAAGTCAAAACTAAGACAGACCGACTACCTTGTCGGCTGCATTGAGGTTATTGTTGAAAGCCAACTCCCCGTTGGCGGCTATATGATTTTTGTGGAATTCGACCCACAGGATGGTCGGATTTTATTTTGATGTGGTGTTATTGGATGTATCTAACGATGATCTAGATTCGTTCGGTTATCATTCCTGCTTGGATATATGTTTATGTCGACTTCGGTTGATCTTTTTTTTAACTAGTGGTTGTTATGTTTTTCTTTTTAACCGGTGACCAAAAGAACTGGGATATTGGGGTTTTCACACTAGGTTGAGACCTTCCTAGTCGACCTGCGTATGTCTCGTACTTAGGAGATCAGCGCCCAAAGGAACGGACAAAGTCCGGGTTCAATAGTCGTTTAATTGCACGTACCTATACTACAGCGAGCGAGCAAAACGCCCACGGTTGACCCACCTCTGCAACTGCATTTAAAAGCTTTCACACATGGGTCGACAGCTCAGTAGGGATACGCACCTAAGGGTGGTGACAACCCCTTAGGGAAGCAAGGTTATGCCCCGCGGGAACTTGTCCTGTCGTAGGGGACCGCGGGATGTACAGCTGGCGCACCCGGCTAGAGCGGCAAAGGAACGACGCGACGACGACCGTCTCGGCGGCTCACGGGATTACTTACGCGTCGTTCTCAAGTTGTCCCTATATTGGTTAAGTTTTTGTTTTAAACTCCTGCGTGACATGGCCGGGAGCTCCCTCGCTCGCGCGGGGGCCGATGCGCTCGACACCGTTTCCGCCAAATCTGCAAATTCTGCAATATCTCAGTCAACTATGTCTGCTGCAAATCCGTGTTTTTCTGCATGTTAGCCGTAGGTTGTGTGCTGTGGGATCGTGTTTTGCCTCCGGGACTAGGGAATACGGGGGACGACGGACCCGAACACTTGGAGTATAGGGCGGCACGGGGCTAAGACCGCTTTGCACCTTCTCCCTCCACCATCTACCTCTCCCCATTCACCATAGCCATCCACCTTGCCCGGATGTCCAAACGACAACCCAAGAGACCTCCCACCTTCTTCCTCCACCTTCACCTACACCCATCCACCATAGCCAACCACCCTGCACCTCCTTCCTCCACCCTCACCTACACCCATCCACCATAGCCAACCACCTTGCACCTTCTTCCTCCACCTTCAC